GCAGCGAACACTATCAGAGATATCTAACAAAATGTTAATCTTTATGTTGTAGTTTGTTTGAACACATTTCCTCAAAATAATTCATAAGCAGCCACGCACACACAGCCACAAGCACACACAAGCACACACAGCCACAAGCACACACAGTCACAAGCACACACAAGCACACACAGTCACAAGCACACACAGTCACAAGCACACACAGCCACAAGCACACACAGCCACAAGCACACACAGCCACAAGCACACACAGTCACAAGCACACACAGTCACAAGCACACACAGTCACAAGCACACACAGCCACAAGCACACACAGCCACAAGCACACACAGTCACAAGCACAGTCACACACAGTCACAAGCACAGTCACACACAGTCACAAGCACAGTCACACACAGCCACAAGCACACACAGCCACAAGCACACACAGCCACAAGCACACACGCACACACAGCCACACGCACACACAGCCACAAGCACACAAGCACACACGCACACACAGCCACACGCACACACAGCCACACAGTCACAGTCACACACAGTCACACTTCAGGGGCCCAGGTTGAAGGAACTGGAGTCTTCCTCTGGCAGAGATTTTCCTTTGAAACATAATAGAAGAGACATCAGTTTTATCTACTCAAATATGACTTTGATATATTCATCATCAACAACATCAGTATTTATTGATCACCAGGAGTGGCCCCTGATCCACAGGATCCTTGAACATGTTTATTTGGACTGTGAGAGACTGCATTGTGAGAGAAAGACACTTACATCGGCTGTTTTGGGAGTCGAGTGATTATCTCACTCCTCTTGATTGTTGAAGAAACTCAGCGACAGTTTTGTCAACACTGACTCCTGGAACATGATCGATATTCATTTTGGACCTCAGGGCAGCAACACAACTGTAGGGATGAACGACACACACATCACAACATCATTATCATAATCACTGCGTCCCATATATGCATTCACAACAACCTACATGACAAATGTGGGGTGTAAAGTCTTCCTCAGGAGATGACAATGGCCGATCTTCTAATTCTGGAAGCAAAGTCTTGTCTTCGCAGTCAATACTAGAGAAAGAAGAGGTCAGCAGAAAAGTATCTAGTCGTTATGGCATTGTTTTTTTTTTTAATAGTTATTTAACTTGCATTATGGAGGCTTTTGAACTCTTGTACATTGAAGACCTCATTCCAATTGATTTAGGCCATACTGGAAAAGATACAGAGAAAAGAATGCAATGAAGACATGTAAATTATTACAATGTCTATATTATATCATGCTCATAATTTATTTGGTAGTAGTCAGCAAGACTCTTACTTATTCTCAATACATAATAATAAAAATGTATGTAGTGGTCACGGAAGTTAGATTTGAGGTAAAGAGATATTGTTTTTATAACAATAAAACTAATATACAGAGTGCAAGTTGCAAAACTTAGTCATTGAAGAATGAAATGCAGACCTACATATATATATAGTGCAAGCAACTATGTTTATTGGAAAAAAACAAACGATTCATACAGATCAGAAGTGTTCGTAGCAGCCACATCATATTCACAACTACAGACAGCTAATGCTAACAGCTAATGCTAACAGCTAACGCTAATGCTAACAGCTAACGCTAATGCTAACACCACTTCACGGGGGAACTCTGGTGATATGGTCATTTAATGTTGTACATGTGGGGAACTAATAATTGACCGGAGTTTATGGATGACTAAGGCTGGGCTAAGGCTTCGATGTTGTGTTGTCTGTTGTTGTTTCTCAAAGCTAAGCCAAGGTAATGCGCAGTTATTGCCACAAAATGCGGCCGTATTTCTACAACAGCTGGGGATTTTTAACTAGCTAACTTGGTGAAAGCCTGCATTACAGTCTCAGGCAACAATATGTATAAATAATACAACTACTACTGCCACTACTGAGTAACATGCTCACCTGTTCAGTCGGAGAGAGGAATCCACGGAGCTAGAGGTCGCCAACATGAATGCAGCTGGTCACCATGTTGCTCATACTTTTTGTCGTTCCTCTGTTTCTGGCGTTTTGCCTGTATTTAATAAATCCATTGTATTTCGTCTGCAGCAGCGCTGGAGGCGGCTTTTCCTTCTCCGCCATGTTTGTTTTGAAGAGTGCGCGTGCACACACGGGAGAAACCCCTTATAAGGCGTGCTCTCTCGTCATTGGATAAGCGCATAGGATGTGAGGTTTTTTTATTAAATATGTGGGAGAAGACTGGAAGGACTGAGAGATCCGTGTTTAGGTACAAACACTCTATATAAGTGATGGCTATTGGAATATATCAATATTTAAGACGTATATTAACACCCAAAAATCGCTTACTGCTGCTTTAATAATAGTAAAAGTAAAACATTGTTTGATCATGCAAAGTACAGAAGAACAAAACACGTTGTAAGTATAATATCCTTAATAGCGTACTTATGCTATGGCCTAGCTAAATACATGTGTATTGGAATGTCCCTTTGGACCACTCAAGTGAGTTTCATTTAAGCTTATCCTTTAAACAGCTAGATGCGTCCATTTTGTACAACTGGGAAACACAGAGCGGATTACCCACTTAGAAAAACAAATTATGAAACATTTAACATGCAAATATGAAGTAAAATGTAAACATGTAAAGAATAGTCTTGAGGGAGATTGGTCAAAGGGACACACATCAGCAGCAGAACACTTCAGCCTTTGATGGTGCTTTTATTCAACAATTCACTTTATAATCATACCCACCCACAACACACAGAGCAAACAACATGAGTATAACCTAAAACAACACATATTTACTTGATTTTAAAATATTTCTATACAAATCTATTACACAGTGATTGCAATGTTGTTATTGTTTTGTTGTGAAAGGTGACTCATCCACGTATGTCAGCAGATGATCTTTCTATACTTAACATAAAAATCAAAAAATGTATTAAACTAAAGTAAAAAAAGACATCTCCACCAAACATTAATTATTGTTTACAGTCTTCAAGTTACCTCTACTCCTCTCGCTTCTCAGCAAGAAGGTCCAGGGTTTGAATCCCGGTTGGAACAGGGAGTTTGCATGTTCTCCTCGTGTCTGCTCCGGTTTCCTCCAGGTGCTCCGGTTTTCCCTACCTCTAAAAACACTCATGATATATGTATGTAACGAGTGAGTGAATGGATGGTGTTGATTGGGGGTTATGATGTGCCAGTGTGTTCGGTATCGGAACGGAGTGAATGAAACTCTGAATATTGTTAAGCGTTTTGGGTGACCTTGGTCAATTGCGCTATATAAATAAAGATTACTAGTACTTACTACTGCACTATATTGTGCCTTGAACCCCTCACTCTTATGGCACACATCATAGAAATCCACACAAGATAATAACGACCAGGCAGGAGATGCCGAGATTCGAACCTTTGTGTTTGTGTAAAAATACCTATGATCGAATTAAAGGAGCAGTATGTAAAAAATCTGGCCATAAGTGGTACTGCACTCTCCCTGACTCAGATATGCAGACGAATCCAGCTGGGTTTTGTCAATAACAAATCTATAACGAACACCTTTTTCACAAAGATAGAAATCCTGGTTTTATTCCTTGTTTTGTCGTTAATGATTTGAGAATCATTTTTTGTTCTGTGGCCACATGGACCAGTGAGATTAGCTCGAAGTGGTGAGTTCTGGTAACCCGGATCACGGACCCTCTGATTGGTAAAACGGTGGAGGGCGGGACATACAAATGAAAACAATAACAAGCTTTAGGGGCTGTAAAACTAATTTTGAAATCCAAATATCTCTGAACTACTGTTATCAGTTAAAGAAGTATTGGAAAAGAGCCTCTTATATTAATGCATTTTGACAGATCAGAGCCCTTTAATGATAACTTCACATGAAAAGCTTACATAATGCTAATTTTACGACGACAAAAACAAAATACGTAAAAACATAGATTCGCTTCTTAAAACTTTATTGAGACACGAAAAAGACTTACTAACTACTTTGCAAAAGGTGTCATCGGAATACGTGAGATTGCAGTTGCTGTAACATTTTCTTTCCAGTGGAGACATTCATAGATTCAGTGTGAGGAAGCAGATCAAGACCAAACACCTCCACATGAACGAGGTGAGAAGACCGCCAGGCGCACCTCCATCATTCATGTGAGTCTTTCAATAATGCATGTTTCTTACTATTCATATGTTCCAAATAAATGGTTCACAAACAACAATTGAGTATGTAGAGACATGTTGGGTGAGTGATTGGTCAAAGTGGGTGGTTTGAAGGAAAAACACCCACTTTTGTACCCGGTCTGACTCAAGGATCAAAACCCCAACCTTCTTTGCCCAATTGTGCCGCCATGTTTTGTTAATCTGACCCCAAAATCAAGGCTGATGGGCAGCTTAACCCACATGATTACGATGATTAAAAAAATACATAGGGCTTAATATTGTCTATTTATTTGTTTTATCATATTAGTGTTTTAGTTGCCGAAACTCAGATTTTGGAATAGAGAATTGCTTGAATCTTGTGACTACATTTAATGGTTCATGTGATAAAGTAACATTTCCAAGCTTTACAATATTTTTGAAATCACTTTTATATCATAGCGCCGCCAGATATTGCTGTTTTATATATTAACAAGAATAATTAAAACATCTCTGTGTCAATCTCTGTTTGTGTTGAGAGGCCAAACTCCATCCACTGTGACTTTGATTCTCAACTTTTTTTTGGGTTATGTTCTAATAGAAAGAGCAACAATTCCTCCAACTATTTAATTCAATCACCAATTTCTGCATTATTCCAAACTGTTTTGGCCTATTCCTGATGTATGCATTATGTAAGGACAAAAATCCAAATGTTTGCATGGAAACAGGCCTACTCCTTGACGGCCTTGTTGTCAGTGGTAAGCTAACAGCAATAAGCTAACAGCAGGGGGCTTTTGTGTATTTTTTTTCCTGATGTGCTCATGATTTCTTGCTTGTCCTGTTTTATACTCCAGGTCAGGTCAGATGGTGAGCTAGCTGGGAAAGGCTCCCTCCCTCCGGACTCGCCTCCAGGGGTCCACACTGTTTTGCCCAGACTCGAGGCTGAACAGTGTTTTCACCTGCTCTGAGGAGGACGTGTAGGAGGCGCCTGCTGCCGCCTTTTTCATTGAACTTAGTCCATTGTGCTTCCTCTCCGGGGCCTCTGCGCGTGGCTCCATGTCCGCATCCTTAGTCTCGTGCTGTGCTGTGCCAACTGCAGACATTAGAAAGGAGCACAACACTCTGGACTATTACATTATTGAACTGCCTCAACATTTTAAAATGTTGTGTTCCATTTATTCTGAACCACAAATCCTTGACTCAAAATGTATCATGTTATATGTCCCAGGATTTGTAAATATTAAATGGCCATTGACTTTTGGGTTATCTGGTAATAACTGTTGTTTTTATTTTTGTCTTGTCTTTTCCAGCACATTTTCTTTTGAACGCGCTGGAAAACGGCAGCAGGTCCTGAGTAGCTCTGAAACAACTGCTGTTTTGTGCTTTATATATTTTATTATTTGCTTTTTTCTACCTGAGATGTTGTAGCAGTACAGTGTTCATGGTTTTACGCCAGTCCAGACCGGAGCAGAGAGGATTCATGGTTCGAACCAAGCGGATCAGGCAAAAATCCACTGGAGGAATGCTAACTTTTTGAAAAATGCTAATGAAGCATTCAGAATTTTACTTTGGACTAGAGCAGAGAAAATGCTCCGAACCAAGCGGCTACTCCATCTTCTGCAGCTGTGACCCGTCCTGCTCCACCCAGAGACTACTCCACCTGTGCTGCTGTGACCCGTCCTGCTCCACCCAGAGGCTACTCCACCTCTGCAGCTGTGACCTGAACGGCTTTTGCTGATTATTACTATTGTTAGCTTTTTTGAACGATAATTTTTATTTTTTATTTTTACTGCTACTGGACACCTGAATTTCTCCAACGGGGATCAATAAAGTATCTATCTATTCTATTCTATCTATCAATAAACCCAAGATACTCATTTCTCTCACTCCCTGAGACGACACTTGGACTTTCTGATCCAGACCAAACACTATGTCAATGCATTATATCTGCATTATCAACAATATCTAGGCTAGAAACCTGTTACAATGATCTTATTTTAATTCAAATGGAAGCTAAATGACAGAAGAAAAAAGTCAACAGGATGGCCGGGAGCGATTTCTCTTCAATCTTGTAATATCTCATGCTGTTTGATGCAGTCCAAGTCCGACCACTGTAAACTGCAACAAATTGAACGAGACAAAGCAATGTTTTCTGATCCACAAACTCAGTATCGGTGGTGACACAACTCTGCCATAATTTCCATAGATGAAAAATGATAATTGCGGCCAAAGAATGCTACTATTATTTGATGGCTTCGCGCGGAGCTGGTACAATCTTTTGTCAGGGAGAATGCTGAATAACAAAGCCACAGCATTGGGCCTCGCTGTCTCTGATTTGATACGTGCAATCTCATTTCTGTATGTGCAGTAAAACACCAGCTGCATATTAATGCTACAGCCCAGATTAAGTGCACATTGATTTGGAGCATCAGTTGGGTGGAAATAAAACAAAGCTGTAAAAAATACTTGGAAGGGGGTAAATGGGAAGAGCATGAAACATGAAAAGAAAGTTTTAATGGAGCTTGAGACCGCAAATATAATATCCGCTTAGACGGCAAAGTGCTGCCTGCGTATAAGCATCCTATGCATCCAGACATGTGTATAATTTAGATACGGATGCATTTATAGGATTGTCTTCTCTTCCAGTTTAGTGTTAAAAGATGGGAAGCGCAGGTCTTTGTATAAAATGCTCAAAGTTTCGATAAAACCGACAAATGACAGAAATATCAACAAGAAATATTAATGAATGTGAATGCATGATGGTGTACAACAGAAAAGCTGGTGGTAGTATGGATTGTGTGTATATGGAGAATGCTAAGTTGCTGGCTCATAGAAGCCTCGTAGCAAAATGCTCATGGGCAAAGTTTTGCTCCAAGTCGCATTGAAAAGTAAACACCTCCAGCTCTGTTGCCCTCATACTCACCATTTCCGAGTTAAAATCTGTGTTTTATGATCATGGAGGTTTTTTTAACAGTGTCTTTGTAAATCCATATATGAGCCCCAACAACTGACCAATCAGGTACCTTCTCTTCCAATATTCATCTTTAGATAGCGACCGGAAAGAGACCAACACCGCTCCTGATTGGCTCTTTGTTTGCAAGGCCAATGCTACATGTACTTCAGATTCCCACTCATGGAGAATCAAAGAGACACAAGTCAAACGCTAGAAGGTCCTGGGTTCGAATCCCGGTCAGAACAGGGTCTTTCTTAGTGGAGTTTGCATGTTCTCACCGTGCCTGCGTAGGTTTCCTCCGGGTACTCCGGTTTCCCCTACCACTAAAAATATGCTCACTAGGCTAAGTCCTCCTGCTCCGGTAGTCCTGACCAAGCCGAGCATCAATATCTGGAGATGGGTTCCCGGGCGCTGATACTACGGCAACCACTGCTCCTGACGTAAGCCTTCGAGGCCTCAAGATGGGTCAAATGCAGAGGATTGAATTAACCATACGGGGATCAATAAAGTGCACCTTTACCTATGGGTGACATCAGAATTCGGTTTGTACACTCCTTCTACAGTCAATTATCATTATATTGTTAAAACTTTGAAGTCTGAACCGTCGAGGGATTCCTTGTGAGCGGTTGAACATGGGTCAGTCTGTTCTGGGAGCTTACAGAACAACATCACGATAGCATAATACAGTTCATGTATGAGCATCGCAGAGGTGAGTCATCGGCACCGGACATGTGAGCTGATTGGCCGGGTCACGTTCAGACAGCGCACGATGCATTTGTTTGTGTATGTGAGAACAAGTAAAGGACATGCAGCCTGGAGCCATGAATTCCAATAGCTCAGTACCCAAAGGAAACCCCCATACACACCTCTTGTATACGCCAATGTTTTATTCAGAACTGATGCTTAAAGAAAATGCTAATGCCTAACTTTAAGATTTCTTACACCCCGCGTTCTTCGAGATGGATTGATTTGTTATGTGTGTTGGTAAGCTGGAGATTTTTTTTTTTTTCTTTTCCATTGTGGGGTTTTGCATTGCATTATTCAAAACACTCGGCAGGACTTCAAGATGAATATGAGGAAGTTGGGGTTAAGTGTTTGCTCAAGGACAACAGCGAAAGACGGCCGTGTAGCTTTCTCTATAGGAAAGATGACGTTTGATTCCAGCCAATGATTCCCCTGTGAATTATGTAGAGAGACACTCGAGCAGAGCTGCACAAGCACTGGAACTGGAATCGAGATCTAACTGTAAAGGTGTGGATTCAATTGCAAACAACATATGACTCTATCTAATTTAATTATGGCAAATCTGACTCAATTTTCAATTGTGTACGACCTGTATCATACTATTACTGTATTTTACAACAAGCAGTGTTAGCATTCTAATATAAAACACAGCCTGGTAGTTGGTAAAAATATGTTTTTAAATGGGTTTTTAGCATACATATTTTTCAAAAGAATTGAAGCTCCCACTGAAAGATCTCAGCTCCTGGGACTCACCACCTGCAGGAGGATCAGTGAGGGGCTGGTGCTAAGTGTACTGGGTGCAGCTCTGACTGCCACCCCCCCGACCCAGAAATGGATTAAGGGGAAGAAAATGGATGGATATTTTTCAAAAGAATTGCACATTTTGCTTAAGCTGAGGTAAGAAAGCAACAAAATAGTGGTAGTCTCAACACTAATTAGCAGTACAATATAAGGCTTAAAACATACAATAGGAAAGACATATAATTATATGACCATTATCAATCAATCAATCAGCGCCTTTCATACACAGGGCAACACAAAGCGCTTCACAGTCCACATCACAAATCATCACATAAAACACACACCAGAATCACAATTAAAACATTAAAATCACACAAAAGATTAGATCAGATTCAGATTCATTTATTTGCCATTTGCAGTAAAACCACATTGGAAAAACTGTGCAAGACTACCCCGGTGTGCACACACACCAGAGATTAAACCATTAAAACTTTCAAAATTACACAATAAATTAAAAAAAATAAATAAATAAATGACAACAGTGCATTAGAAATTGAGATAAAATCCTTCAGTTGTATGCACAGGCAAACAGAACAGTCTTTAACCTGGATTTGAACATTGACAGAGTAGACGCCTCTCTCACATTTTTAGGGAGATAGTTCCAGATCTTAGCTACATGGATCTGAAACGCAGCCTCCCCATGTTTGGTTCTCACTCTGGGCACCAGCAGGAGGCCAGTCCCTGTGCTCCTCAGAGTCCGAGCCGGTTCATATGACACCAACATGTCACTAATGTATTTTGGTGCAAGGCCATGGAGAGACTTGTACACAAGCAGAGCCGTTTTAAAATCTATTCTCTGAGCCACAGGAAGCCAGTGCAGAGACCTGAGGACCGGACTAATATGGTCGTACTTCCTGGTTCTTGTCAGGACTCTAGCTGCTGCATTTTGGCTGTACTGCAGCTGTTTTACAGCCTGTTTGGACAGACCTGTAAGCAGGCCATTGCAGTAGTCTAGCCTGCTGGAGACAAATGCATGGACAAGAATCTCCAAGTCTGCCCTGGATACTATATTTCTAACTTTGGCAATGTTCTTCAGATGGTAAAAAGCTGTTGATGTTATTGATTTTATGTGGCTATTGAAATGTAGGTCTGAGTCCAGTATTACCCCCAAATTTCTCACCTTGTCTGAAGGCAGTAGGGAGAGAGACTGAAGCTGACAAATGACGCCCTCTCTTTGTTTCTGGGGACCAAAGACAATGATTTCGGTTTTGTCTGCATTTAGCTGGAGGAAATTATTTTGCATCCAGTCACTGATCTGTTGGATACAGTGAAGGAGCAAATCCAGTGGTCCATGTTCTCCTGCAGTCAGTGAGACATAGATCTGAGTGTCGTCAACGTAATTGTGGTAGGACACTTTGTTTCTTTGTATTAACTGACCTAATGGGAGCATGTATAGATTAAATAGGAGAGGTCCCAGGATCGACCCCTGTGGTACTCCACAGGTCAGGGCCACATGATCTGAGACGCAGTCTCCAATCTCCACAAAGTACTTCCTATCCTCCAGGTAAGACCTAAACCAGTCTAGGGCTGTGCCAGTGACACCAACCCAGTCCTCCAGTCTCTGCATGAGGATCTCATGGTCGACAGTGTCGAACGCGGAACTAAGATCTAACATGACCAAAACTGTGACTTTACCTGCATCAGTGTGAAGTCGAATGTCGTTTGTTACCTTCACTAGAGCGGTCTCAGTGCTGTGGTGGGGTCTAAACCCAGACTGGAACATATCAAAAGAATTATTCATTGTTAAAAATTCAGTAAGTTGTTGGGAGGCCACTTTTTCAAGAATTTTTCCAATGAATGGCAGATTCGATATGGGGCAATAATTTTGAAGTCCTGCAGGATCCAGACTGCTCTTTTTTAGGAGAGGTCTAATGACTGCTGTTTTTAGGGCCATAGGAAATTTTCATGACGACATGTTTAATATTTGTGTCAGTGAAGGTAACAAACTGCTCAGGACGGACTTCAGAAATTTAGAGGGTAATATATCCAGGCTACATGTGGAGGAGCTCAGACTCATGATTATCTTTTTGACAGTTTCAGTATCCACAGGTGCAAAGTGAGTTAGCTCAAAAAGCTTCTCTGGCTGTTGCATTGTTATACGTGCTGTGGAGGTGATAGTGTTTTTGATTCCTTGTACTTTGTCATCGAAAAACTGTGCAAACTCATTACACCTAGATTTAGAGGAAAATTCTAGGGGCAACTTTACAGGGGGGTTCGTTAATCTACCAACTGTTGAAAACATAACACGAAGATTGTTACTGCAACCTCCAATAATGTCAGAAAAATACCTTTCTCTTGTTCTACGTAGAACCCGGTTAAATTCACCTAACTCATCTTTAAAGATTTCATAATCGCCCTGGAAATTGTACTTTCGCCACTTCCGTTCGGCCCTCCGGCACTCTTGCTTCTGTGCCCTGACCGAGTCTGCCTTAGTCCATGGGGCCTTTTTCTTACTGGTAACTATTTTAACCGTTACAGGAGCAATGGCGTCCAGAACAGTCAGAACACTGGTGGTGACAAAGTTATACAATTCATCAACAGTAGAGCATGGAGTTTTCTCAAAATTTAGCATTCCCATGAACAGTTCACTTGTGTTTTCATGTATGTGTCTTCTTCTAACAATTGATTGAAACCACCAGCTGAAAATTGATTCAGCTGGTGGTTTGCTAGCAAAACACATGTCAAAAAATACACAGAAATGATCTGACAAAGCAACATCAACTACATTAACATTTGATACATTAACCCCCTTTGTAATTAGCAGGTCAAGAGTGTGCCCTCTGCTGTGAGTGGGGCCACTCACGTGCTGAATGAAACCAAAGGTCTCAAATACAGAAGCCAGCTCCTTTGCATTTCTGTCATCAACATTATCAACATGTACATTAAAATCACCTGTAATAACTAAACTATCAAAATCTGTGCACACGAATGAAAGTAGTTCAGTAAAATGGTCAATAAAATGGCAACACGACTGTGGTGGCCTGTAGAGGACAATGAAAAGAGTAGAAGATTGCTTTTGTTCCATTTTAAAAGAAATATACTCAAACGATGAAAAATTTCCAAGGGGCATTCTATGGGAGACAAAGTGCTCTCTAAAAACTGCAGCTATGCCTCCCCCCCTTTTGTTTTCTCGTATTTCGGATTCAAATTTAAAATTGGGTGGTGTTGCTTCTATTAGAACTGCATTTCCTGTATTTTGGTCCAGCCATGTTTCAGCCATAAGCATAAAATCAAGATCATAAGAAGTGATAAAATTATTAATTAAAAATGATTTGTTACATAGAGATACATAGATTGTTACATTAGACTACTGTTTGTGGAAAAATACAAATTAAAACGTGTTATTTCCATGCATTATCATAAATGTGGTAGTGCCTTGGAACAGACAGTGTATGTATGCATGACTGTTGAAAATATAGTCTGCATACAGTATCTGACGGCTTTGTAAGCAAAATATGGACTTTTAGGAGGATATTGGAACATCTGTGCGCGGAGCTTTTCGCGCTGTTCCCAAAGCAGCCCTCAGCTTCTCAGATCACTCCATGATACATCTGATCCCGGCTTACAGAAACCTGTAGTGAGGAGCTCCAAAGTGTGGTCTGATGAAGCTGTGGAAGAGCTGCGCGCATGCATGGAATCTACAGACTGGGACCTTTTCAGAGCTGCCACAGATAGTTTGGATGAATACACGGACACTGTGACGTCATACATTCACTTCTGCGAGGATAGCTTTATTCCAACAAGCACCAGGGTCATCTATAACAATGACAAACCCTGGTTCACTGCTAAACTCCGGCAGCTCAGGAAAGCAAAGGAGTCTGCTTTCAGAGAGGGGGACCGCAGCGGCTACAAAGCAGCTAAATATCAGTTCAGGAAAGAAGTGAAAGCAGCCAAGTCCCGGCACAGAGAACGACTACAGGAGCAGTTTGGTAACAACAATACTGCTTCTGTCTGGAGGGGCCTATGGGAGATCACCAACTACAAGCCC